ATGCAAGAGACAAAATAGTTAATAACCAGCGTCTAACACCCCAAATGGGAGTTTTGCGCCCACAGTCAGACAGTAGGTTTGAAAGCCAGACCCTGTCCAAAGAAGAGATTTGGGGTTCCTTTAAAAAGTTCCCATGTGACTCTCCAGCTGCCATGGACCATGTTAGGGAGGGTCCCAACTGGCGGACAGAGGGGGAGATGTGGGGGGGGACGGGGATGCAGAGGTCCCCTGCTCACAGCTGCGCACACACCTTTCCTGCCCACCCTCGAGGGCAGGGGCTTGCAAAGATCCTGGAGAGGTCTGGGGAGCCCAGATACGGCAGGGGGGCAGCTGGAAACCCCTAGAAGAGCCACTCGTGCCAGTCTTCTCTGTCCCCTCCTCTCCCAACGCTGCCATGAGGTCTCCGGTCACCCTGCCCACCGAGGTCCCCAGCGCCCGTCTCGCAGGGGAGTAGGAGTAGAAGGAAGGCATCTGAGAGAGCGGGCATCTCACCCACATCCTTTCTGTGACTGCGGGAGACCAAGGTCCCTGCACTGGACACAAGTTGAGAAGCCCTCTCTCAATTTTCCAGCAGAAGAGGCCTCGCAGAGAAGTTCTGGTTAATCGCTATGAAATAAAACTGCATTAAGGATTCTGTGACCTGTGGCCCCGGAACCCTCAGTGACTGCCCCAGGGGAGGACGTGTCACTCCCGGGCGCAGAGGAAAGAGCCCCAAGTTCATGATACTCCCACCAGAGCCTGAAGCAGAGCCAACTCAGCACTCTGACAACCTCTGGGTGGATAGGGGCTCGGGGCCTGGGTACTTATCTGTCAGCCTGTAACAAGCAACCACCAACACGGTCGCCTACAACACACGCTTATTATCTCACAGTTCCCGTGGGTCAGGAATCTGGGCACAGCCTAATGGGTCCTGTGCTCAGGGTCTCACAGGCTGCGGTCAAGGTATCGGCAGGGCTGCATCCTTTCTGGAGCCCAAGGTCCACTGCAAGTTCATGTAATCTTGGTGGAACCCAGTCCTTTGCTGTTGTAGGATTGAAGTCCCGTTTTACTGGCTGCCAGTCAGAGGGCACTCTCAGCTCTTAGAGGCCCCCATAAAAGCGACAAGCCCCCAGGCCCTCTCACACACGGCAGCTTGCTTCCTCGAGGCCATCAGGATCTCTCTCTGACTTCCAGACCCACTGTCACAGGCCTCACCTGATTAGGTCAGGCCCACCGGGCACAATCTCCCTTTCCTTAACTCAGAGTTAGCAGATGAGGGACCTTAGTTACATCTGCAAAAACCTCTTCTGCTTTGGCATGTACTATGACCTAATCTCTCAAGAGTGGCATCATTGTATCTAGGCCCTGGGCACCCTCAAAGGAGGGGATCATCCAGCGTGTGGACACCTGGGGTGGGAATCTCGAGAGCCGTCTAGAATCCTGTCTGCCTCGGACCCGAGCCAGAGCACACAGAGGGAGGGCACTGCTCCCCCCACCAGTGACGCAGAGGGAAAGCACACCACTGGCATGTGGTGAGAACCACCCCCCGGGGGCCTGGACTCAGGCCAGTCCCCAACAGCCGACCTCTTCTCACCTCGAAAGGCCCAGGGGCACCATGAGAGGCCAGGACTCAGATACTCAGGAGGGCCTGGGGGCTGATTGCTTCTGTGGTCTTAGGGTCACACCCTGCACAGCTGTCATCTGGGTGGGTCTTTTCCTGAAACCTGTGGGCTCCTCCTGCAGAGACCTTGGCAAGTCACTCCCCTCTCGACACCTCTTTCCTCACCTCTAAGGTGGGGGGGTTCCCTTCACCTCTGGCCTCTATGATTTGGTCTCACGGCACAGAGAGCAAAGCAGGGGGCACTCATACTTAAATCAGAGGAGGCTTTCCTGTGAGGTTGAGTGAGTCAGGCTCGGGGACAAACAAAGTCCCTGTTGGGGAGGATGGAGACTTAGAACACAGACCTTCTAACCCCACTGAGACCTGGACCCCAGAATTATCACTGCTTATGGTGGAAACTAATCAAAGACAGTACATAAGCAATTTGCTTACGTGACCATAATTAATATTATTTTTATATGGCCATACCAACTTTTAACTTTCTCTCTTGGCATTTGTCAACTTTCCTGTATTGACATTAACAGGAAGAATTTCCACCGCACCAATTAATCAGGTCACAGATTCAGACACGTACACTCATAGGCATATTCCCCCTTCAAAAGGAATGCAAAATTACAGAATTTTGGAGCTGAAGGGGCCCCTGGGGAATATGTGGCCTGAGCACCCAGTGGCTGAAGAACCCAGCAACAGCCCTGCTGACTCATGTCCCAGTCCCTGCTCAGATATCCACGGTGGATTCTAGATTCTAGGATTTGAAATCCTGAGACGGTTCAAACATCAGCTTTTGTAACTTCCCACCCGCCTGACCCACTGCTGCATAAACATTTCTGAGATGTTTGAAGCTGTTATCAGGACTTGTAACCAACACTGCCAACTGCCCACCCAGACCTCCTTGTAAAAGGACCCCCCATGGCTCATGATCAACACAGCTTTCCAGTAGATGTGCCCAGTGACCCACTCTAGGGATCTGGGAAAAGAGGAGCCTCCCCTTCCTCCTTGAGGCCGCCTTGCTGGGCTGTAGCTAAGGGTCAGTCTCATAGTGTGATAGACATCTGAGGTGCAGATCTTCCAGAACGTTCTTAT